CCCCCCGCCGGGGCTCCCGCCGCCCACGCGGCCGCGTCACGGCGGGCGGGACGAGACGGGGCGGGCGGCTCCGCTCGCGACATAAATAGGAGCGCGGCGCAACGGCGACACCGCTCGCTGGCAGCTCCGGCGGCAGCTCCGGCGGCAGCTCCGGCGGCAGCTCCGGCGGCAGCGGCGTTGCTTGGCGAGGATCCCCTTTCCCTCTGCGCACCTCTCGTCTCCCTCCGGCCCTACAGCAGGTGAGGCGCTCTCGGCGGCGCGGGGCTCGGTCCTGCGGGGCTGCGCGATGCGGGGCTCGGTCCTGCGGGGCTGCGCGATGCGGGGCTCGGTCCTGCGGGGCACGGTCCTGCGGGGCACGGCGCGGTCCTGACGCCGTCTCTCCCCTGGCAGCCCATGACGCTGAACGGCGCGGGCCGGCGGCGGGGCAGCACGCCCTTCCCCGCGCAGCAGCCGCTGCACCGGCGCAGCATGCCCGTGGACGAGCGCGACCTGCGCGCCGCGCTGCCGCACGGCGAGCTCGCGGGGCTGCTGCGCTGCACCTCGTACAGCCCCGGCGAGGCGCCGCGCCACAGCTGGGCCTCCGACTCCTCCGACTCCGTGGTGTCCTCGGGCAGCGACTCGGACAGCAACCTCTACAAGGTGATGCTGCTGGGCGAGCACGGCGTGGGCAAGACCAGCCTGGCGCGCATCTTCGGCGGCGTCGAGGACTGCGCGGACGCGGAGGAGGCCGGTGAGTGCAGGGGGGAGTGCAGCCCCGCATGGGCACCCGTGGCACCGCATGGGCACCCAAGCTGAATGTGCTGCGCTCTCCCCTAGGCAACACGTACGACCGGTCCCTGGTGGTTGACGGCGAGGAAGCCTCACTAGTGGTGTTTGACATATGGGAGCAGGTACTTGCTGACTTCTCACATCCCTTTAGACTGGCTAGTGGTTCACTATATATATAGATCTATCTATCTATCTAGGATAACGGAGCCATTCTGCCCAGTTACCTACTGCACCAAGCCAGTAACACTAAACACAGGCTTGTTCTGCGCTGCCTCAGTGCCCTGCAGGGGCTTCCAGCTTCTCAAACCCTGAGGGAGAAGCAGAGAAGCCCTCACTGCTTTGAGGAACCAGCAGCGCGACTGAGCAGCCCAAGAAATACTACTCAGATGAGGGGGTCATGCTCCCATCTGTGCCAGACCTGATAATATTTCTAGAAGCACAAGAATTGTTTTGTGATCTATGTTCAAAATGGGAAATTAAGAACACTTTGGGGAAGATAGTTTATTTTTAGTGACCTCTAAAGTAAAACTAAAAATCTTTGTTGCTTGCAATAATTAAATCATTAGTTACACTTACTGCAGTGCAAATCTAACAGGTTTATTCTTTTGCCTTCTGTTTTAGGATGATAGTCAATGGCTTCAGAATCATTGTATGAAGATGGGAGATGCTTACATTATTGTATATTCAGTGACGGACAAAGTTAGCTTCGAAAAGGCTTCCGAGCTAAGAATCCAGCTAAGAAGAGCAAGGCAAACAGAAGATATTCCTATTATTCTTGTGGGCAACAAGAGTGACCTGGTCAGATCCCGGGAAGTCTCAGTGGATGGTAAGAAACATTAATTTTAAAGTAATATGTAAATTGGCAGCAGAGGCTTCAGAGGATTCTGATCTAGTAAAACTAGTTCAGTTTTAACATAGAAAAATGTATGAGGCACACTTGAGAAATCATGTCAACAGGTCCGTGCTGAGGGACTCTGTATGACAGCGAAGTGATGGAGATGGTGGCAGAGGAGGATTTCTGGCTGTGCTGTGCAGAGTAATGTTCTGAGTTGCAGTGCAAGAGAAAGCCACAGGGCTGCAGCTCCAGCATATTGCTCTATGTGGGATGAATTTTGGGTCAATATGAACTGAAAAGGCCTGGTTCTGCTGTCCCCTGTGTTAAATGCTCAGTAGCCTGAACAGGGAACTGATCAGAGCTTATCAGGAGATTGTTTTCAGGCTGATGGCAGTGCATGGATGGTGATGCCACTACTTTGCTCGCATTTGTGACCTTGTCATTATTTACCACAAGGCAAACATGGAATCTGCATGTTCCAGTCCTGGAACATCAGAGACTGAGCATCTTCCATTGCCAATGCAGTCCCAGTTAAACTCTGAATCTACAGTTTCATGACCTCCAGTGACTAGTTTAATGACTGGAGATTTTGGACTGCATTGCACTTCATTTGGGACTGTCTTGAAAAAATCCCACTTGTTATAGCAAAGTTGACCTTATTTCTGACCTTAGTTGACCAAAGTTGATCCTTGTTTCTTAGTCAAATTTAGCCCTCTCTGCCAATATAAATAAAGAGAAAATGCCTGTTTCCACTCATGTCCCTATTTTCTCTTCCGATGCAGAGGGACGGGCATGTGCTGTGGTATTTGACTGCAAATTCATTGAGACCTCAGCTGCTCTGCACCATAACGTCAAGGACCTGTTTGAAGGTATCGTTCGGCAAATTAGACTGCGGAAAGACAGCAAAGAAGACAACGCAAGGAGAATGGCCAACACCAAAAGAAGAGAAAGCATAGGCAAAAAGGCAAAGCGCTTCCTTGGGAGAATTGTAGCAAAGAACAACAAGAAGATGGCTTTCAAAGCAAAATCAAAATCTTGCCATGATTTATCTGTGCTTTAGAAGTCTCTGGCAAAGCCAGATGTCGCACATGGCCGCTGAAGAAGCATTTGACTGTTTTGAGAAGTGTATGGATGATCCTCATGGTGATAGAAGAATAACTGCCTGAGACTCTTTAATGCCTTAAGGTGCACAAGCAAGACTGGAAGTTGCGTTACAGTGTCTGCTTCATTGATAAATCGTTTAAGTTTCAGTATGTGCAAGTAAATGAATGAACAAGTGGCTTCACAAGGCCACACTTTCACTGTGTACATATATTATGTCCTCTTCTCCTGTGGATACCAGAGATGCACAGATGACAGAAAATGAAGTATCACCACAGACTTTTCTCATTTGCAGAGCAAAACTTGAAAAATGTACGCAGGCTCGTACACTTTTTTTAGTATAAAGCAAACAATGTTAAATCTTTTTAAAATTGTGTAGGGTGGGGGTAGAACCACCTTAGAATGGGAGAAAGCAAATTATATATATAAATACAGAATAAATATCATTTTATGAAGTTAATTTGCACTTCCATTAACTGTTATTCAATTACTTTGTTACTTGTTTACAGGCAGATTTTATAATAAAGCATTATTTCCTGTTATAATATGCTTTTCTCATAGCTTGGATAGAGAACAGTATTTTTATACTGGCTGTTTTTCCTCTGTTGTACAAAACTCCACATAGATTTCAAATGATCTGTGCAGACTTACACCAGTTAAATTTCTGGAATGAAATGAATCAGGAATACGTGGCATCTATTCCCTCTGTAGGTAGAGATAGACTCTGCTTTTATTACTTTTTTTGAATATCCTACTATGGAAGGATTGAAGTATTGAAGCAGAGAAGGAGCTCAACCTGGACCTCTTCTGCTATTATCTTCAGCCTTGTTCGCATGTCAGCTCTGGCAGGGACAGGCCTCTGTATCATGCCTTTAGATAGTCTTCTATACAGATATATTGATAAATTGAAGCCTATAGTTTTCTACTAAAGTCTGGCCTGTATTGAAGGTTTTGTGTTATAGTCAAAAAGCAGTTTTCTTTCTTTGCCCTCTTCTGAGGGCAGTATACTCCCCTCATCCTGTCAGCAGGCTGCAGATAAATTTCAGTGGTTTCAACTAGACCAAACCAGCTGGCTAGGCTGCTTGAAAGAGGTGGAGGCTGAGCCTCCGCTGTGGCCTTCAGTGCCGTTACGATGTTCATAGTCATTTTGCATGTCCATCATTTTCTGTATTCACTCTTCATAAAGTTATAATGCTAGAAATCCCGTCTCAGTGAAACACTTAGACTTGCTATGTTTGTTCTGTAAATTCCCCTTCATAGGCTACATCCCCTCATTCTTCCAAAAACTTGCTTCCCACATGTCAATGAAACACAGGCTCTGGGGTGTCTCAACAGCCAGATTTAGCTGAAGAGAGGGAGCTTGTTCAAGGTGCTTGGGAACACTTTTGCCAGGGTTTCATAGATGTGGATCTTTCCCCTCCAGCAGCTGTCTGGAATTGCCTGCCTTACCTCAAGGCCGGCTGTCAGGAGCCCGAGCAAACCCCTCTCCACGGGGCTAGTGCAGCGCTTGGGCGCTCGGCAGGGAACAGCTCGAGCCGCGGGAAGCGGCAGCAGGTTTGGGCTGGTAATGCTCCTTATTTTGAGTCCGTGGAATTAGTGATGTGCTGCTGCTGGAGCCAGTTGGTCAAGCTCTTTAGCATGTGTTATTGTTAATAGCGGTCACATCAGCTTTTGTATGGAGAGGTGTTTACTGTGTGTCCTGGAAATGCATAATTCTGTCCCACTGTTAAAACTTCCACTTCCCTGATGATACAATGCAAGTGAACTTGGCTTTTTTTCCCCAGTCTTGATTCCTGCCACTATTTTCAGCAGGACATCTAACCACTGTCAGAGCATACAGAGCACAAGGCATCCATTTAACACTGAAGCTTTGACTGCTAACACAAAATCAATGCTCTAGTGCAGAAAAAATCTGCACCAAAAAGGTCTAGATTTATGTGCATAAATCTATTCATGCTCATGATGAAGTTAATGACAGAACTACAGCATCATTTCCTGTGTGCTTGAAAAGCTTTTAGTTGTTTTATGATTTCAGCATAGAGGTCAGTAGAGGACTGACTGCAAGATTTAACTGCTGAATTCTACCTATAATAAATATAAAAAATGTGATTCTGGCCCAGTGTTTAAGATGTAGCTTTTCACAAAGTGCTGAGTGTGACAAAGATGTGTCACTCTTGATGCTGCACCAATGCAGCTGCAAAGCCCCTTCAAGGTCATGGTTAACAGCTGTGCTTTTGCACACTCTGACCTACAAATCAGATAGTTTTCTGTGTTCATAAGTTCAAAAGATTGGATTTGGACAACTCTTAAGCTTGAATATTCATGATGTGCTCTTGCACATTGCTAAATGTTATTTTAAACTGTGGAAAATAATTTGTATTTTCGAAGTAGTCATATAGGTACTATGAGAATGAGTTCTTCCCGAAGAACTAGGTTGATCTATAATGTACTCTCTAAATAAATATTGAACAATAAAAAACTTATTTGAATCATCATTATACTCTTTGCATTTTTTTATACAGTGTTTAGCATAATTCAGCCATGCTTTGTGAACAAGGAGAGTGTTCTTTTTTATTGTGGCTCTAATAACAACGCATTGTAGATGAAGACTGTATTCTATGCTGAGGAAGTATTACCATGAGTACCATTCTGAAGAGGTTTTGTAGCTCTTGGAAGCTTTTCTATCCAGGAAAGCCTTACCTTTTTTCGATGTCATTTAGTGGATCTTGCAGACACAACAAGAATGCAGTTCCAGATACTTATGGGGCAAACGTCTCCAAAAATCAATCCAGTTTCTTCAAGGGACTATTTATATGTTTAAGCAGTTGAAAGTTGTCCATAGGTTTTTCTAATTTATGACTTTTTATTGGAATGAATACTCAGATTCTTGCCATTAATAGGCATGAATCTACGTCAGGAAAACCACCGGGAGTCCCAAGCAGCAGTACGTACTTTATTACCAGAAAAGAGTGGCAAGGGTAAAAGCAGTGTGAGCGTTTTTAGTTTATGCCAGTGTATATCAGTTTTAATTTGGAGGGACAGTTCACATAGTCATTTACTCCTTACTGCCTTTACTCCTGCTGCCAGCTCAAGTTCCTATTACTGCTAATTGTTGTGGTGGATTTTGTGTTGGCACAAATCCAGTTGGAACAGCTCTAATTATGAACATCTACAGTGGAAGGACATTGCCTTTTGTACATGACACATATGTTAGGTAAACAAAGACTCCCCCGCTCGCTATTGCTAAACTAGGTTCTGCACATTTTTCACAGTATGAAAAATGTGAAGAAAATCATTCTTCCACCTGCCAAAAATATGAAGCGTACAGTCAAGTCACACAGAATTAAATGAAATGTTAGATACTGGGGGAAGACTATCACCAAAAATGTAGTTTTACTCAGATGTATTTTCTCAAAATAACCCTAGAGAAAAAAAAAAAAACCCACAACCCTCCATCTACATAGTAACATTACATAACACAGATGACTGTCTTTTACTGAAAAACAGTGAATTAATGGTGATTAAGAAAGAATCAAGTGTATAATAAAGCTGGGCTAAGAGATAGTCCAAGGAAAGTAGGATACCACTTGAGTTATGCTGACAGTGGTTTTAGAACTGGTGACTTTATTCAGGGTTGGTATAAGCTAAACTGAACATGCATCGCAGAGAGCTCACTGAACTCACATTTGCAGTCAAAGGTCTCTGTATTTCAGGACTGTCATTTAATTTATATTTTACTTTATAATATCTAGTGTTATAATGGATGATTTTCTTCCCTCTTTAAAGAATGTAACATCTGAACTCCAATACAACTGGAGTTAATTTCTAAAAATTGAAATTGGAAATGCTTTTAAATGTCCTTGTGCCCTGTGACATCAATGTTGAACAGAGAAATAGAAGATAAAAAAAAAAAAGAGAGAGAAGGTATTTAGATGGCAACAATTAAAAATTAAACCACAAGTATTTAGATGACAATAATTTGATTTGTTTGATGCTGCGGAAGTATCTACAAGAGGCCATGTCCTATTTACTACTTTTGCTGATCAAGGATACAAAAAGCATGAAACTACAGAAACTCATCTCAACTAGAATGCACAGAAATGTCTAACACCATCCCAGCTTACAGAAGTTCCACCTTAAGTTCACTACAGGTCTGCTTTGGAATTTATTGAAGGCTTTGCATCCATGCTGCTCAATAAAAGAAAGAACATAACTTTCTTTGGGAATCAGTTGGGTGCTGTACAACTTTCTCACACTTTTTTTTTTCAGCTCTTTTCTCGGTATCTCAGTTGTAGGGCTCCCCTTTGTCACACGTTTTTCGTGTCAACTTCTGTTTTATCTTTCCAGCCTCCATGGTTACACATTGTCACCCTTCTAGCAGTGGCTCTGTGCTGGGAACGGGACAGTGACACTGTCCTCCCACTACACGACTTACTGAAAAACATCAGCTGTCAACAGTTGTAACATGAACCGGGTCCTGCCGCTCACTGCTTTACATAATATAGTCCAGATAAAAATGTCAGATTTTGCTGCACATAAGTCCCTGATTAAGACAGCATAGCAAATTAAATTTCTCTCTCCTTTAATGTCAGGGTTGCCATCGTATTTGCAAGGCAAAAGAGAATGAAAGATTTGCAGCTGAATGGTTCATGGAAAAAAAAAATCTTTGATAAAACGTATGCAGTCTGACAGACACATCTCATTTTTACCCCACAGTCATTTTCTCCACTAGAAATCTTCTCTCAATCCTGTCCTACATATTCCTGAAGGTCGGACACATGAGATCCAAACGGAAGCAAGATAGGTACTTTCTATGTTTCCATGACTTTTAAAACTATTAAGGAAAACACTTTATTCAACAAATCAACGTTTCTGTGCCTGGTTTACAACTCACAGCCTGCGGCATTATGGCAGTCCATTAAATTCCTAATGGAAAAAAAAGTTATATAAACAAACAAAAAAATCCCACAAATACTGGTTTTGTCAATAAATCAGGGCAAAAGCAACCCAGCTACAGACTCTGCATATTGCTGACCCTGTTGGGTCTTCCAGCCACTACTACAACCGTTCCTATCTTCTGCCTGTCTGATTTTGTGGTTGGCTCAGTGTGAAGCAGAGCTACCCCAGGCTGTTCTCTTCGGCTGCCTGGATCCATGAAGAGCTTGGGAGCCCGTCACGACCAGCGGCAGCACCAGCAAAGAGCCCAGAGCCCAGACACGACGCATCCCTTGTCACTGCGAGACTTCTCTGCTGCAGGGAATCCTTCATTCGCCGCATAGACTTGTTAGAGAGTTGCTCAGTTCTCCTGGCATACTTGAAATTTCAGGAACAGTGTTTAGCATTTCCTACATCACTTCACTTTTAGCCACTACCTGCAAAATTGGGTTTCTTTCTTTTTTTCTCTTATGTAGTAACTGAAAAGATAGTACTAAAAATCAGAGGGAGAGTACAAAAGTGAGATGAGCACCAAAATAAAGCAGCAGACAGAAATGAGCAATGTAATGATGCCTCTTGCAGATCTGACTCTGATTTGGCGGTTGTTTTTCAAGATACAAGGGAGCTAAGACACAAAATTTAGTCGAAAGTAGAGCTAGTCAAGGATCAGAGCAAAATTTTAAATGACTAAATCCTTGAAAACAAAGACTTAGGATGAAAATATGTAACAATGTTCTTTTAGTTAGTTCAGAGATGTCATTAGGGGAATGGCCTGCTCTTACACCAGTTTTAAG